TAGGCAACTTGGACATTGGCTACCCAAAATGAGGGGAGGGATACAAAGGTAAGAAGTGACTGGCTTACAAGCTTTCAAGAGGGAACCTAGATCCGAAGGGCATGGAGGAAGGTGGAGTCTCCAGTGAATAGTATCCAGCCTGTCTGGGAAAGGCTGATGAAATGAAATACAGATGGGTCTCTTGTGATGCAATAGTGAATAATTGTTATCAGGACTGATTGTAAGGGTTGGAAATGTAAAGGTGGACATTTTATAGCAAGGAGGGGAGTGATTAACTTTTCAGTCTAGGAGCAGAGGATTGTAGGACCATCAATGGAGAAAAGCAGAGAGAAGGACCCTACCCAGAGAAGCAGTGAGGCCTGAGATGGAGGCAGAGAAGACGACATCAAGAGATGGTGTGGCTGGGGACTTGCGATCCAGAGAGGGAAAGGGGCTGAGGACTGTGGTGGTGGTGGTGGTGGGGGGGGGAGGGGTGCAGGCTTACAGGGTACACCCTTTGGTTGGGTGAGGATGCATGGATGGGATGGTAACTATGCCAATGAAACGATGTATGATAGAATGAATGTAAAACTAATGTTCGCCCATGTAGACTATCACATAATTCACAATAAAACATTTATTAAAAAAAAAAAAGTTAAAGGATTGCAATAAAAAACAAGCAGGAGTGACAATACTAATTTCTGATAAAATAAACTTTATGATAAAAACCAGCATAAGAGACAAAGAAGGACATTATCTTGTGATTAAAGGGTCATTTGAACAAGATAACATAACCATTATAAATATCTATACTCCCAATGAAAGAGTCCCAAATTATATAAAGGAAACCCTAATACATCTGAAGAAAGAAATAGACAAACATACCGTAATAGTGGGAGATTTTACTACACCACTTTCGAAAAAGGATAGAACAACCCTAAAGAAACTCAACAGACACCAAGGAACTAAACAACACAACCAGCTAACTTGACTTCATAAATGTGTACAGAGCATCCAACCCAACAGCAACAAAATACATATTCTTTTCCAGTGCACATGTAACATTATTCAGAATAGACCATGTGTTAGTCTACAAAATAAGCCTCCATAATTTATAAACCTCAAAATAATACAAAGCAACTTCTCAGATCACAACACTATAAAATTAGAAATCAACAATAGGAAGACCAAGGAAACAAAGTCAGATACATGGAAACCGACTAACGCCTACTTAAGAGCTACTGGGTAATAGAACAAATAAAAAGTGAATTCACAAAATTGCTAGAAACAAATGAGAAAAAACCCCCACAACATAACAAAATCTTTGGGACATAGCAAAAACAGAGCTGAGAAGACAATTCATTGGAATAAATGCACACATGTAAAAAGAAGAACCAAAATCTGCATATTAACAAAACATTTCCAATAAATCAGCAAAGTAAACCTACAGTCACCAGCAGAAAAAGAAATAATAGTTTGTTTTCTTCCACCTCCAATAAAGCCTTACATGTGGGGGAAAAAAAAAGAAATAATAAAGATTAGAGCAGAAATAAATGAGATAGAAAACAAAACAAAAAAATGTTTTAGGCTGAGTTATGAGCCACGGATGCACCATTGTCTTCATTTCTTCATCACAGGTGAATCTTCATCCTCCAAAGGCTGCTTTCAGGGGACCAAACAGGTGCAAGTTTGATGGCATAAGATCAGGACTATAGGGAGGATGCTTTAACACCTGAAAACTAAGTTTTTGCAGAGTGTCAACAGTGTAGGCAGAGGTATCTGGATATGCATTGTCCTGTAAGATCATTAGGCCCTTGGAGAGCCGTTGTTGTTGTTGTTAAGTGCCGTTGAATTGGTTCCGACCCATAGCAACCCTGTATAGGGTTTCCGAGGGTGTAAATCTTTACGGGAGTAGAAAGCCTCATCTTTCTCCCGCAGAGCAGCTGGTAGTTTCGAACTGCTAACCTTAAGGTTCGCAGCCCGATTCGTAACCTCTACGCTACCAGAGCTCCGTACTCTGCCTTTAATTCAAAATTTAGGCTTCAGCTCTTCAGTAAGCATCTCACTGCAAAGAGCACACTGCTGATTGTTGAACCTTTTTCCTGATAGTGTTCCAATACTGGCCCTTGAGAATTCCAGAAAAATATAAGCATCAATTTTCCAGCTGATGGTTGAGTTTTAAGCTTTTTCTTGATCAGCTGTTGAGGATGTTCCCCTTCTATACAATGCCATTTACTCTCAGGCTCTTAGTGATAACCATGTCTCATCACCAGTAACAATTTTTTTAATAGAAATTTTTACCTTCCCTAGAGTATTGGTCCAAATTTTGTTTCAGATGTCCAAATGCTTCAGTTTATACTCGTCCATGAGCTGTTTAGGTACCCTTCTCACACAAACTTTTCAAAACACAAATCTGTTGTGAATGATTTCATAGGCAGAGCCACGGCTGATATGCAAATGATTTGCCACATAATCCACTGTCATTCATCTACTCCATAGACATCAGCTGGGCACATGGACAAATGTTTTAACATAACCAGAGTGCTGATAATTTTCTACTCATCCCTGAATGTGTGTATGCACTTATATAAAGATACCAATGCTTATTGGTGGTTACCAGGGAGTGGGAAGGGGAAGCATACGCTAGATCACAAATTCTTGTGATTTCTGATGATGGAAAAGGGCAATGAATGTAGGTATAGTGAGCACAGCATGAGCAAAGTGAATGATATCACTGAGAAACATTCAAGAGAAAAAGATGTCTATACCAGAGAATCTGACATATATAAAATAGCAACCAGTCCAAAAAGACTACACAACAAGTGTATGCTCGCATATAGATGGGTATAGGCATATAGATATATTGATACATACAGGTGAATACATGTGATAACAGATAGAAATATCTATATATGTGTATAAATACAAATATGTGCATGCAGACACATATTCATTGAAGACACAGCTACAGATACTCCTCAGACATAACCAAACACCTTCAGAAAATGGTCATCTAGGTTTGAAAGCTTAGGATCATAGTCTTACATGTCAATTTGGATAATCGGCATAATATAGTTCAAAAGGTTATGTTCGGCATCACAATGAAGTAAGCACTATTTAGGGTCTTAACAGTTTGTGAGTAGTCATCTGAGATACAACTATTGGTCTCTGTTCATCAGGAACAGAAGAGTGAGAAGACAAACAAAGTCTCAGAGAGGAAACAACTTACAAGTCTGATAGCCTACACATAGCATGACCTTACCTACCCTGAAACTAGAAGAACAAGATGGTACCTGGCTTGCAGATCGCTTTGACTTAGGTTATAATAGACAGTCCCCAATAGAATGAGAGAAAACTGTACAACAAATCTTAAAATCTCAAAGACCACACTAATTGGACCAGTTCAGATGAGAGGACTTGTTGAAACTAACCTCCTGAATCACTTTTAAAACACTGAACCAAAACTATCTCCTGAGATCACCTTTTAGTGAAATAATAGAGTGGCACACAAAATAAAGGGTACTTCCCATTAGAACGGTGCTCTACTGAAAAGAAAAAAAAAAAAAAAAAATCTGTATTAGATCAAAATGTTAACATTTACTCTAAAGCAAAAATTGGAAGATAAGGAGGTAGGGCAACTAGAGCACTAGAGGTGGAGCAACCAGAACACAATTAAAGATGTCACTTTAACAATCTATGTGGAAATTGTCAAGTAGGAACCAAACTTGCTATGTAAACTTTCACCAAAACACAATTTTAAAATAATCTCCAGGCTGCATGTTAGACATGCATATTCCTGGTTCCTCTCTTAATTTTAATGATAAATCAAGGTTTAAACATCAATGGCAACACCAATGTCTAGAAATTCTGACTTTCCCCACATCTAGATCACCTCTCCCCACGAACCCCTTTCCTCCACCCCATTTAAAAGGACAGCTGTTTTCTTTCACACCACACTTCTGGAGACTCCATGATAAGCTTACTCTGGGCCATAAATTGCTTAAGTATCATCAGATTTTCCCCCACCCCCTTTGGTCAACCTTAATAATGAATTTTAAGCTAGGAAAAAAGATTGAGAAAATCACTTTACTAACTGCACATATATTTTCACACTGATTAAAATTTTTTCTAAATTTAAACAAATTCATAGTCTATAACATTGTTGGAGTAAAGGAAGTCATTCTGAGCATGTATCATTTACTCAGTGAGCATATGGAACTCTGCCATGTTCCAAAGAGACAATTGACAACTGTGCACAGGGGTCCCAGACACATAACCAGGGAAATAAGCATTTCAAAAGGGAGGTCTGGGTACTGAGGGAGTACGTGATCCAGCAGGGAAGGGGCAGAGGGGCTAAACTAATCTAGAGAACAAGTAGAAATAAGGTGGGCAACTACAGGATGGGAGGGAGCAACATGTGTATAAACCAAGAGGTTAGGAATGGAGTTTGAGGAAACAAAGTTTGAGTCTGAGTTTGAGGAAACAAAGACATTGAATAAGGCTGATGCACAATGTTCACAGGAAGGATTAAACAAGTCCACTTTGAGGAAGCAAAGGTAACAGGGACGATAAAGAGCTCAGCTTGAGATGTGCTCCAGTTAAGATGTTGTGGAACAGTCATGTGGAGGTGTTGAGAAGGCAGCAGGGCAGAGGAAGCTGAGCTCAGGAGGGAGACGTGGACTGAAGACATAGATCTGGGGGGGACCAGGAAGCACATTTTAAGCACAACTCCACATAGGCCTCACACATTCTTTTATGGGAGAAATTACTCGTCATATTTCTGATAGCACTATTTTCCCATGTTCTTTAGCTCTGGTGGTGTAGTGGTGTCGCTGCTAGCTAGGTCAGCAGTTTGAATCCACCAGCTCTCCAAGGGAGAAAGAGGAAGCTTTGTGTTCCCGCAAAGATTTACAGCCCCGGAAATTCTACATAGGGTTGCTATGAGTGTCTGTGTTTGCTAATTTTAAAAGATATATTTCCATGAAATTAAATTAAAGCACAACATTTTATGATGTCATCACCTGTAAAATGGCATGATATGCTCGATTCATATATGCAAGCCAAGCCTGGGGGAGAAATACCGCACGGTGCCACTCGGAGAGCTGAATGTGAACCTGTGGGAAAATGCACCAGGATATAAATTAGAATACATAGCATTAAAACCCAACAAAATTTAACATCTATCATCAATTCTTTCTTTCCTTTTATTTAAGTGGTTTAAATTCTAAAGTAAACCAAATCAGTCCCAAATCTGAACCACAAATAAGATATTTTGGAGATTTAAAAAGGAAAAAAATGTGGAGTTTTATAAAGTTAAAATAAAATAAGGCTGGAATATTCCAAATTAAAGCAAATAAAACCCTCCAATATTAACCACTTAAAATGTACATGTAATACAAATCTGTCCTTGGAAATTAGGGGGACACTCTGTAAAGTCGCTTGCCAATGTCAGGAAACTAGGTATTGTTGAATAAATCTCCCTGGTAATTTTAAAAACAAGTTTTACTCATATCCTGTATTTCCAATCTGACAATTTCTGAAGTAATAAAACTTAAATTGCCAACAGAGCTATCAAGTTCTGTAGAAACTTCCATGGTAAGAGCATGTAAATGAGCATGTGCCCAGCAACTATGTGGGCCACTAGATAAGTATCCTTTAATCAATGCGGGTAAACAGAAAATGATACATGCCAACACTGAAGCCCTGTTTCAGGAGAGAGGCCCAGACAAAACATCTGGTTTTCATAGTCATTTCTGTTTCTACCTATTAGTATATGGCTATCTTGCAACAAATCTTTCCAAGGTCGGCTTCAGTTAAAGAAAGAGCACTCAGGAAAAACAGCCGCAGCGCATCACATTTCATGTTTCCTGTAATTCAGCTCATCTAAACTCAGACAACTCTAACTTCAGTCTGTCTCCTCGAGGCCAAAAACAAAGAGAAAGAGAGAGAAATTTAAATAAAAGTATGCTGTGAAATCATGACAACTAGGGTATGTAAGGGCATTTTACTGTATTATAAGGATGAATTTTCTCAAGTATCTTGTGATAGGGAAGATAACAACCTTTCTGAATACTGTGGTTCCCATGGCCTCTGGTCTTTTCTTTAATCCCAAATTTAGTGTGATATGAGGTTATAAGCATATCAATCCATGTCTTCAGAGAGTTTTATAGATAATGGGAGAGCCAGAAATGGGTACAAATCAATAAATTATGAGGCAAATTATGATGTGATGGCAAAATCTATGGGGGCCCGGTGAAAAAAGAGATTAATTCTGACTACTATTAGCTCTCGTTCCACTACTGCATTTTAAAAGCTAGATACTGAGTCTCACTTAACCACAAAATAAACATGAAAACACTACAAAGACTGGTCTCTTCTTTTCCAAAGTACCCATTCTGTTGGGTGGAAGGAGGAGGCTTAAAAATATGTCAACAAAAGTCCATTTAGGAACAGACTCTCCAAAGCCTGCTGGTTTCTTATTCAGGAAGCTGACTACAAGTAGGTCACACTGCCAGCTGAAGAAGCATGAATCAATCCTGAACCCTGGTTTGTTTCCAAAATACGGCGAATCTTCTTTAATTTTCTTCCTATCAATTCTGTTCTGTTTTCATAAAATACATTAACTATATCTTTAAACCCTATTTTGAATCTTCAGAAATAATACTAAAATATCACAATCTAAGCTTTTATTTTGATAATCTACTTTAAGACCTCAAAATATTTTTATGCTTTTCTGCCAAGTAACCTATGGTCATCAATGAATGCACATCTGAGAACATCTGTAAAAAAAACAACACTGGATGGATACTTCTGCAAAGACAATGGTTTCAATTGAATCTTAAACCCGAATTTTAAAAGTGAAGGATTGAGGTAGGAGACGTTCCTCGGCAGAGGAGCAGAAAAACCAGAAAAGGTGCTTTCCTGGAGCAGTTCCAGACTTTTGGATCTAGTATAAGTTGCAGGGCATCAGCTTCCCACACCCACTGGTGGAGAAATCTGACTGTGGAAAGGAAAATATGGTGATTTCTGAATCGATCAGAATGTGAGACCTTCCTGCAGCCCCTCGGCCTGGCTTGAGATAAGAGGGTGGGGCCACAGCCAGCCTGATACAGTGATACAGCTCTAAAAACTGCAAAGTGGCATCTGAAAAAAGATGTGATGGATTTTACACTTTTCTATCCCCCTCTTTCCTGTTGCACCCTCTCTGCCCAGCCCAGACACCATAAGGCGGGTGGGAGCACATCCCCAAAAGGATCCCAGCATTGAACACACAATTTTGCCAAAGTACAGTGAGGAGGTCCCTGGGAGGAGCCCCATTGGTCCCATGGGCTGATCCTTTGGCAGCTTCTTAATGACATCTGACTCTCGGACCAGCCCTAAAGTTGACATGAGTGGGACCCATTATTCCTGCCTACCCAGCAATAAAAAGCAGGTCTGGCTATACAGCCAAACCATATGAGCACCCTGTAAAACCCCAACATAAAAGGTAAGAGCCAACACCAACTACTACATACAAGAACGCAGATATTTTGAGAAATACACTGTGCACACACAGATACCTAACTGACCTTCAGAGATAAAACTAGTGGACAATCTTTCTTCCATTAATTTCTCAATATCTATCTGCACATCTCCACGGTGGTGACTAGAGGAGGGGCCTGAAAGAGTGGACACCCCTACCCAATGCTGAGGGTTTCTACTGTGCATGTACACGGGCCTGTGCAGCAAAGGCTACTGGTCAGTTGGCTATGGTTTTATTTATTTATTTATTTATTTTTGAGTGGTGGTTCTTGTCTCTGCATTTATATTGTTTCTATTTTTGGTCCTATTGATCTCACTTTTTCCCTAGGGGTGGGAGCTTACTCTTCCTATGTTACCCAAGAAGAGACAGCAATCGTGGCCATATAGCATACCCCATGATATTCCACCATCTGGACAGGAGCCAATACCAGTTGCTAGGTATTACACATGAAAAGGGAAGCCTATCTCCAGATCACATCCACCAGGAGACACTCAGTAAACTTAACAACACAGAAACATACATTCATATAATCACTGAAAACACACCTAACTACTGAAAATGTCCAAGAAAAGGCAACAAAAGATTTTACCACATGTCCAAAAACAGCAAAGAGTTAAATGATATAAATAAGATAGAGGCAGGCATAGACTTTCCACAAGAAGAAGAGCAGGCTTTGGATCTGCCTGAGAAGGAATTCAGAAGAATGATACAGAGACAAATTCAAATGCTTCACAGAGGGGTGGAGTAAAATAAGGAAGAAGTCAGGAAAGTGCTACAGGAACAATCAAATAAGATAGATATAGCATTGGAAACAATTCAAAACCCTGCAAAAGCAGGTCCAGATGACAAAAGCAGGTCCAGATGATTAACAATATAATATCAGAAAGGGACAATACACTGAAAAGTGCAAAGGAGTAGAATTGAAGAGACGGAAGCCAAAACCAGCAAGCTGAAAGACAAATCTCTCAATACTGCTAAGTTAGAAGAGCAAGCAGAAAAAAGGACTAAAAAATCTGAAGAGAGTCTAAGATTCATGCTGGATAACATGAAGAGGAATAACTTAAGAATTATTGGCATTCCGGAAAATGAAGCATCATAGAAGTCCACAGAGGAGATAGTTGAAGAGCTACTGAAAGAAAATTTCTCTCACATCTTGAAAGAAGAGAAGATAAACATTCAAGAAGCTGAACAAACCCCAGGAAGGAAATACCCCAAAAGAAAGTCATGAAGGCATATAATAATCAAGCTCTCCAAAATCAAAGACAAGGAGAGAATCCTAAAAGTGGCCAGGGAGAAGAGAAGTGTTACTTACAAAGGCTAGCAAAACAGATTAAGCTCTGAATATTCAGCACAAACCATGCAGGCAAGAAGACAATGGGGAGACATATACAAAACCCTAAAAGAAAAAAAAAACTGCCAACCAAGAATCATCTATCCAGCAAAACTATCAATCAAATATGATGGTGCAATCAAAACATTCTAGGATAAACAGAATCTAAGAGATTTTATCAAAACTAATCCAGCACTTCAAAACATCCTAAAGGGAGTTCTTTGGACTGAAAACCAACAAGAACAGACAACAACCAGAGACTGACAGATGTGGTAACACCACCTGAAACTCAGATGACAAATAGCAGAGTCCAGAACAGAACAAAATTACAACAAGGAATTCAAAGGAGATGGTGGTCGGGCAAAGATCAAAATAATTACAATGTCAAAGAAGTTAGACACATAGGAACAGAGTTCCAGGTGGTAAGGAGGTCAGGTACATTGCAAGATACAATAGACTGTCTTAAATGACAGGAAAAGTTAATAGACTATAGGGTAGCCCCAAAGAAAGTTAATTTTTCACAACTTAAAATGAAAATGAAGATACAAGAAGAACAAGGAAACACTAAAACTAAGAAGAAACTGACAAGACATAGAAGAATGAACAGCACTACAAAAAATTAACATAATGACAGAAATTAATTCATACCTACCAATAATTACACTGAACATCAAAGGATTAAATGCACCAGTGAAGAAACAGAGAGTGGCAGAATGGATAAGAAAACAAGACCCTTCAATATGTTGCCTGCAAGAGACGCACCTTACACACAAAGACAAAAACAGATTAAAGTTAATTGCAATAAAACACAAGCAGGAGTGGCAATACTAATCTCTGATAAAATAAACTTTAAGACAAAAAACATCATAAGAGATAAAGGACACTACCTCATGATTAAAGGGTCAGTTGAGCAAGATGACAAAACCATAATAAATATCTACACAACCAATGAAAGAGAACCAAGACATATAACGCAAACCCTATTAGAACTGAAGAAAGAAACAGATACATCTACAATTATAGCGGTAGATTTTAATATACCAGTTTCAAAATTGGATAGAACAACAAGAAATAAACTCAACAAAGTTACAGAGGAACTAAACAGCACAATCAACTTGACCTCATATATGTGTACAGAGCATTAAACCCAACAACAACACAATACACATTCTTTCCTAGTGCACATGGAATATGCTCCCAATTTGACCATGTGTTAGGTCACAAAGCAAGCTTCCATAAATTTACAAACATCAAAATACTAC